CCCCAAAACCCCAAAACCCCAAAACCCCAAAACCCCTATCTTAAAATTTCCATTTGAATTATAATGAATAATATCGCCAGTACATACGTTACCCGTGGCTTAAGTAGTAAGGCCTTCTAATTGTTTAATTACTTGGGGGTGGAAGGGGAGACTGTAGAGGGGGAAGGAAGGAATTTGGGGTTAGGGTAGGGGGAGGGAGGGTAGAGGGGTTTTATTGTGAGATAGATATAATAGGAACCGAAGGGAAGGAAACGACTCGGAATGAAGAGGTTAAAGGAGGAGTTTTGGAAAATGCATGCATGAGTTCAAGTGAAGAGGAGACCAAGACTATAGAGGGGTATCGGGATAAGTTTAATGACACCCTTTCTTCGATAAGTAGTGAGGCTGCTCCGTTGTGACAGAGGTGAAGCTCTGAGGATGCTAGCTTCGCATGAATAGATTGAGGAAATATCTATCTTTGCACTTCTTGTGAAGATTTGGTTCATTCCTTAGGAGTTTATGAAAACCACAAACGAGTTAAAGCTTCAGAATTTAGCCTTGAGTTGCAGGCGACCTCTAAGAACATCAACTCTGAGATTGAAGTTGTTCCTCTAGACCAGCCGGCCTTGACGCAGAGGGAAAAAGAAGTTGTAATCCGTCTGAAGGAGAAATTAGATAGGCTACAGACTCATAGCTCAGAGATTGGTTTACAAAGATATTCAGAAAGCAAAGATCTAGGTAAATTTGTTATTGTATTTTTCAATTCTACTCGCTTTATTTTACAATTTTTTTACTGTTTCTAATACAAACTAAACTGTTATGGTCTAGTTGGCCAATCAGATGCAAGAGAGGTAGACGAGCAAGGAGGTGTATGTAAGTTATCTGGTCTTCACATGCTCATAACTTCAAAATTCTATAAGGCTATTTTTACATGAAGAAAATATACCACTTTTCGAGTTAAATTAGTATTGTTCATAAAATGAAATCGATTCCTGAAATCTTCCTATGAGGAGATTAGACTTTTTATGTTGATAAAATATTTCTCAAAAATGATAGCCAATAGTTGGAGGGTTGTTCCTCAGATTTTAAGGTTTATCCGAATGCAAATAATTCTCAAAAATTTAATATAAAATTGTTCAAATTATGCAAAAATATGCGAGAATTATTTAACCAATTCTATCTGTGCAGTGATGAAACTTAAGCATAAGCAGAGAGAAATAGAAAGCAGCTATGATGCATCAGTGAAAGGATTGAAGCACAGTATGGACTTTGTCCGGCTTGTCATTAATAACCGTCAGAAACAGCTTGAGGCTAAGTTAGAGGAAATGAAATCCCAAAAAGACTTGGTTATTTCTTCTAGTATAAATGAGATTAGTAAGGTGAAAGATCAAATACAAAAGATATCCAAGAAGATTGAGAAAGCGATTGCTAGACCAAGCTCTTTCCAAGCTGAAGATGAGATTAAAGTTGATAAAGAATTAGAAGACTTGGATATAATGATTTCTTCTGATTCTTTAAATGAACCCGAAATTGAGCTTGACTTCCCAAAAATTTTAGACCTCTCCTCCATTGAGGGCGTGTTTGAACAACTCTCTTTCCAGAGCTCAACTTATGACAAAGGAAAACCAGATCTTTTTATCGAGCAACGATTTGACCAAGAAGAAAGTAAGGATGATGAGGAATCCAAAGCAGAGGAAATTCAGTTAGAATCATGAAGAAAATTGAGTAAAGGATCTTCCCTTCTTGTTAGGAAAGACAAGCTCCTTATAAAAGACACTAAAGCAGGAGTTGCTAACTATATCTCCAATTCTGAGACCCCTACCTCCACTAAGGGGAGGCCGAGGAAGAACTTTAAGAATAGTTTATCAAGACCTCTCACAAGAACAATGTCTTCATACGGACAAAATAAAGAAGAAGCCAAAACCAAAGAGAAAGGATACATGAGAGGTGGCTCAACCTCCTCTTCAAGGCAGAAGTTATACAAGAACTCAAAGAATATGATTGGTGGATCTAGAGAGATAGGGAGTCATTCCAGTAGATATAAACCAAAGTCTAAGGATCGGAGGGAAGACAACATCCACTCCTTCGTGGCTAACGATTCTAGTGCTAATTTATTAAAGCAAAGTGAGAGTGCTCGCAATGGAGGCAACTCTATTAGCGCAGACAACCAGCCGGTAGTTCAAATTGATGAGGAGGAAGAGAAAAGGCTTATAGATGAGAACCCAATGAGGAAAAGAGTTTTCCTCAACGTTTCGAAAACTTCAACTTCAGTTCAAGTTTCTTGGACTCATTCTAGTAAGAATAAATCTGTCAAAAGAGTGCAATATATCCTTGAGTATGGAGTAGGAATCAAGATGAATGGAGAAGAGCAGTTTAGAATGATTTATAAGGGCAAAGCCCACAAATGCATCATTACAGATCTCATGCCAAGGACAGCTTACCATTTCAAAGTAGTTCCTTTTCAGACCGATGAGGATGGTAAAGAGATTCTTGGTGAATGAAGTGATATCAAATTAATTAATACATACGACAACCAGGATATTCACTCTTCAACTCTAGGCCATCATGCTAGTATAGTCATGAAGAAGCAAGAGAAATGGATAAATTTTGATAAGCAAGGTCTGGTTACCGCTCAGTACGGTTATTCATATGGAAACCAAATGTGGAAAGTTACAATCGACTGTATAAATCACTATAATCTCTATAACGAGGATTTTACAGGCTTGATGCATATAGGAGTGGTAAATGAAAAGGCAAGATCAAATAAAATCTACGGATCAGTCATCCCATATTCTTTACAGAAAGGGAAAGTCAAGGTAAAGGTCTTACTCGAAACTGAGAAGCAAAGAGTTACCATTTTCACCAGTGCCACTTCCAGAAAAGGAGAAACTATCAGCGATCTCCCGAAGGGAGGTATGTTTGTGCCTGCGATCTTCAACAAGACTCAGAAAAATGATAGAAATCTAAAGATCTTGGCCAAATTCAACTTTGAGCAGCCAATTATGTCATAATTGTAAGTTTGCTCCAAACTTCAAGGATTATTTACTAAATCTTTAGTAAAATTAATTATTCGCAGGTTTCTTCATTAAGTCGTTATTTACTAAACCCAATCTGAATTTAGGCATATTCTTCTAAGAGCATCTCACAGGCTTAAATTTAGCTATATGAGTGCTATATCAAAGTGCTGTTAATGACATACAATTTTCTTGGAATTTAAGAAGGACTAATTTAAAGAGACTCTGGCATTTCCATTAACTTCCATAGCAAAGGTTTTCGGTTGATTTTAGCCTAAATCTTCATATTTTATATATCAATCGAGTATTTCTACTTAAAATCTATGAAACGGGGTTTTGGGGTTTTGGGGTTTTGGGGTTTTGGGGTTTTGGGG